AAATATTTCAGTATGTAATTCTCACAGGTAAAGAATAAGTGAAAAACAGTTCGTATTGGTCAAAATCAAATTATAGGAAGAAAAGACTATAGAACCAAGAGCCAAAAATTCAGTTCCAAACTCTTCCTCAGCTACAGGGCCCAACACACACTGCTTAATCTCCCTGGGCTTTGAGTTAATCAACTGAAAACAGGGTAAGTAAGAATATATAAAGGAAGAGTTGACCTTCCTCATGGGATTGATGTGAACACAGGCGACAGACAAGACAGCGCTGGACTGGGAACCATGAAGTCTGGACTCTGGTTCATGTGTGACTGCAGGCAAGACCATTGGCGTTTCTGAGCCTCACCTTTTCACTTCTGCATAATTAAGTGGTTGAACTAGATGGTCTTGTGAAGATTAATAAACAGAAGCTTCATTTAAATTGGACTTGGGAGGGCCTGTAGGGGGAGCTCTCACAACATACTGCCCATCATCAATTACCTCAAACAAATGGAAAACAGAAAGATGTTTTTCTACTCAACTTTTCCAGCAGGTAGAAGTAGGGTCCTCCCCTCCCCCTGCAAGACTGTTACAACTCAGCCAATGGAAAGTCACTACACTTCGAACTCCCTGTTTCCTCCAATAGACTCTTTGTTTACAACAGCGCCTCTGAATTCTCCCTTTTCTCTATAAAAGGATGTCCCTCTCCCTTGTCATTTGGACTTGGCATGGTTTACCATTAGACCAAATTGCAATTCTTTGTTGTTTCAGAATAAACCTATTTTGCTGGAGAAATATCTGGCTATTTGTTTAAGGTCAATAGTCTGAAACATCCTTGTAGCTCAAGCTAACTCTAAAGGTGTGAGAAATTACTATGTTGCCCCCACCCACCCACCTCCTCAAACTGCACCTTCTTTTAAAGATAACTTGAAGCCCCAAGTTCAAAACCAGAGAATTTCCCACCAAGGTGGGAGCCCTGAAGCCAGGTGCTGAGAGGAGACAAGTNTTGACCAGTCCAGCTGGCCCTCTAGAGTCTTTGCAACTGGCATTGATCAGGCCATAACTTGACGTGAACCAGCTCCAAAAGCTCCAAATATATCCCATGACGAAGTTACCTTTTTACTGGGTTATTCATTTTGTCCTGAAAAGCTGAGGCTGGACACTGCTATCATTACACCTCGGCAGCCTGGGCCAGCCCACTTAAGAATACCTCATTCTCACACACTCTGAGGGCTTCAGACGTATTCATATCATTACACACAGCTCTTTTCCTCACCTGCTGCTGTCTTAGATTTATTAAGGTTCTTGGGCTTCCGTTTTCTGGTTTGAATCCCCTCTTTCCGCATCGCAAGAGGCCTGGGGACCTAGGAGATTACAAGTCAATATATATGGTTTTCTACTTGTACATGATCAGCTACAATATTTAAATTCTCTCTCTCTCTCTCTCTCTCTCTCTCTCTCTCTCTCTCTCTCTCTCTCTCTCTCAGCAACATCTAAGCAATTCCTCTATAAATCTTGGGGCTGAGACTAAGTAATTCATCTCCTGGAACTCCTGCTGAGAAAGAAATCAATTATATATATTTTTAAAATGGGTTGAACATATATTACATGCTGGGTATTTTACTAGACTCTGGAGAAACAGAGACTGAAAGACACAGATCCTTCCCTCCAGAGGTTCATCGTTTAGTGGAAATAACAGACAAATAGAAAATAACCAGACTCAGAGGTGATGTGGGAGAGCAGAGAAGAAACACTAAACTCTGTCCTGGGTTGGGGAGGAGGGGCACTAGCACGTGAGCACATCAAGGAGGGCTTCACTGAGGAGGTGATGTCTGAGAAGTAGGAGGTTGTGGAGCAGACAGGGGCAGGCATTTCAGGCAGCAGGAACAGTATGTGCCAATGCATTTAATTTATCAGCCACATCAGGACATTATAAAAGTGAAAAGGCAGTGCTATTAGTAATTATGCCAAGAAAATAGGCATGAACTGGGACAGTCCTGGTGAGTCAAGATGTAACATCACCACTCTACCTAGAGTAGCTAGCTTTTCACTGCATTGAATCTGACTGGAACAAAGGGTGGTGTCGCCATGGGTGGCAACATGTGAGAGATTATGCTGCAGAGATTGCCCGTGGCCTGGTGCTGAGAGATAAACGTCCATGGACAATACTTTTATCCCATCTGACTCCTCATAAACAAGCAGTGACTATCAGGTGTCATGCTCTTGAACCATTCACAGAGGCCGAAACAAGTGTCTGGGGAGTAAGCCTGCCTGCATCTTTCTAGTGTTTTTAAATATTGTGCCTTTCCCACATCTGGTTTCTTTTAGGCTTGGCCAACCAAATGTCCTCTGGTCTCCCACATGGGACTAATAAAGTCCAACCCTGCCAATACTGAAAGAAAAACAATTATCACTTCAGAGATGTCAGCATGGAATTGTTAGGAGAGAAGTGCACCAGGAAATATGAACTTGAACTTGCCTTCTAGTAAACTGAGAGTCAGATGAGACAGCATTCTCACCTTTGGGAAAAAGTGTACTCAGGCCCTCTTAAAGCCCAGCCTGACTTCAGAAGAATCTTGCCTCTTGTTTATCCTTACCCACCTCAATACTTTTTCAAAAAAAAATTGTGGTAAAATGCACATAACAAAATTTACCACCCTAACCATTTTAAAGTGTACATTCAGTGGTGTTAAGTACCTTCACATTGTTGTGCAGCCATCTCCAGAACACTTTTCATCTTGCAAATCTAAAACTCTGTGCCCATTCAATAACTCCCCATTTCCCCCTCCCCTCAAACCCTCAAACCCTGGCAACCACTATTCTACTTTCTGTCTCTGTGAATTTGACCACTCTTGGTACCTCATGTAAGTGGAATCATATAGTAGTTGTCCTTTAGTGACTGGCTTACTTCACTTAGCATAATGACTTCAAGGTTCATCCATGTTGTAGCAAGTGGCAGAATTTCCTTCCTTCTAAAACGCTGAATAATATTCATTTGTATGTATACACCACATTTTGCTTATCTATCCATCCATAAATGGACATATGGTTACTCCTACCTTTTGGTCATAAGGAATAATGCTGCTATGAACATGCGTGTACAAATAACTGTTTGAAACCTTGCTTTGAATTATTTCTTGATATATACCCAGAAGCAGGATTACTGGGTGATAAGCAATTTTACTTTTAATTTTTCGAAGACACAATCTTTTTAATACCTGCGCAACATTCCTCTATCAGTTTCTTTTACCATTCCTCTATTAAACAACAATATTTTCTTTAAAATTTTTCCTTCTGGGTTTTTTTTCTACATTTTCACTATTATAGTGATTCAATAAACATCTTGCAGAAAGAAATGTATTTTCTTATGAATGTTCTTAACTATACTTTAACCTTGTTTTTTTTTTTTGCTCATTATAACAAGAAAATATGAAAAGATACATGAGATTAACTTAATAACAACCTGGCCCACCCTACTACCATCAATCCTATCCCCATGAGGCCATTGTAGTAGCCTATGTTTCTTACATTTTATTAAATTATCAAACGTGTGCACAGGTACATACCTATTACATATATGTGTGTGAACTCATCCATCCATCCAACTGTATCTGTGTGTGTGTTTCATGCACCCTCACCCCCATAGTATGGGATTATTCTACGTATATTACATTGACCTTGAACAACCCGGGTTTGAACTGAGCGTGTCCACTGACAAGTGGATTTGTTTCAATATATACACAGTTGATCTTCCATATCCCCAAGTTTCACATCCGCAGATTAAACCAACCTCAAATGGAAAACAGTATTTTTGATCCATGGTTGGGAGCCTGCATATGTGGAGGGCCGACTTAAATTATACAGGATTTTTGACTGTGTGGGATGGCTGGTACCCCTAACCCCTGAGTTGTTCAAGGGTCAACTGCCCTTTGCAATGTGTTTTTTCATTACTACAGGTCAAGATATATGGCTGTAACCTATTATTTTTTAATTTCTGTGCACTATTCCACATTAAAGGATGTGCCATAATTTATTCAACCATTTCTTTATGAGGTTTAAGATTGTTTCAAGTTTTTGGCAGTACAAACACTGCAGCAATAAACAGTTCAAACATCATTATGTCCTGACTCTTTTATTGTTTTATAGGCTAGTTTCCCAAAAGTAGAGCTGCTAGATCAAAAGGTATAAGTGTTTTTAACTGCTAGGTTGATTTCCTGAAAGAATATTTGCAGTAATTCACATGCAAATCAACAATATACTGTATAAGAGTATCTATTTTCCCAAATCCATACCAGCACTACATATTGTCACACATTTTATTTTTTGTCAAACATATGGGCAAAACACGGCATCTCAAGGTTGTTTGGATTTACATTTCACTGATTTTTTAGTGAAGTCCAGCCTCCCTGCACATGTTCAGTGGCTATCTGAGCTGCTTCTGGGAGTCATCGCTTCATAACTTTTGCCCATTTGGGGAAGTGGGGGGAAGACTGTCATTTCCTTATTATTCTATAGGATCTCTCTTTTTTTTTTTTGTTTTGCTTGTGTTGTTTTAGTTTAACTTATATTTAAACAAGTAAGACATGCACATGCACCATCTAAAAAGTACAAAGGGGGGCCAGCCAAGTGGCTCAGTTGGTTAAGAGCTCGCTCAAGAGTGCGAGCTCTGAGCAACAGTGGTTCGAGTCCCAGCCCAAGCTGAGCAGCTGCTGAGCTACCAACAGGTGGCAGGATGGCTCAGCTAAAAAAAAAAATAAAAAAGTAAAAGGTACAAAGGGGGTACACAATGAAAAAAGTGTCCCTCCAAACCCCTGTTCCTTTTCCTAGAGGCAACTCATGCTGCCAGATTCTTACATATCCTTCCAGAGGTATGCTATGTGTATATAAACAACTACATATAAATTACATTCTCCCTCTTTATAAAAATGTTGCCATACTATAAACAATGTTCTGCACTGACTGTTTTTTGTTTTAGCACTATATGATGGAAATTGTTGCAAATTAGAACATAAAGAGCTTTGTAGAAGCTCCCTGTATTCTGGAAATATTAACCCTTTTTCCTGATATTTGTGTGTATTGGTTTTTACTTTCCTTGGGTATCTTTTTCCATACACTAATATTATGTTATACAATCTAACTCTTATCTTATAGCTTAAGAGTCTCAAAAACTTGTCTAAGAAATTCTCCCACCCCCAAGGTTAGATAAATACTCCCCACTACATTCTCTTCTAGTTATTTTTATTGTCTCTATTTAAAAATGTTTGACATTTCATATCTTTAATTCACCCAACTTTATTTTTGTTTTGGGTAGGAGGTAGACGTCAAGCTTTGCTTTTGTTTTCCTGATTATGTCAATACAATTATTCTTAAACTATCTTTTATCCATTGAATTGTTACCTTTGTCTTATATCATATAAGACACACACACACTTTTTCTGAGTCACTTCATTTGTGAAATTGGAATTAGGCTTATATAATGTTAAAGATGGAAATGACCAGTAATGTTTCTGCTATAGTCTGAATGCTTGTGTCCTCCCAAACTTTGTATGTTGGAAACCAGTCTCCCAAGGTGATGGTATTAGTAGGTGGGGCCTTTGGGAGGTGATTGGGCCATGTGGGTGGAGCCCTCATGAATGGGATAAGTGCCCTTACAAAAGAGGCCAAAGAGAGTGCTCTAGCCTCTTTCACATGTGAGGATACAATGAAAAGTCTGTGACCTGGAAGAGGGCCCTCACTCAACCATGCTGGCACCCTGATCTCAGACTTCCAGGCTCTAGAACTGTGGAAATAAATGTCTGTTTTTCATAAGCCACCAAGTCTGTGGAATTTTGTTATAGCAGCCCAAACCGATTAATACAGTCTCTAAGGTTCCTTCCAACTTCATGTATCCTTGTGAAGAAGGAAAAAATGAACTCTAGTCTGCAGAGAGGAAAACAAGCGAGAACGGAGTGATGGGTATGAAGGATCATGGATGCTGGTCAAGGGGAGCGCCCCGTGTGGGGTGGGGCTACTTACGCCGTGGAGCTTCATGTACAGGCCACAGGCGTTGCACACGGGCTCACCCTCTGCGTTGCGGCGCCACAGCGTGGTGGTGGTGG